TTTTGGGTTAGATCGCGTATCGATTTACGCGATCCAACCCCAAAAAAATACTGAATTACGGAGGGTTTGTATTGTTTACGTGACAGGGGGATAAATGTGCGACCGGCACCATTTTCTGTTGGGGAGAAGCGTCGTTGTGGCCGGAGCTTTGTTTCCAGTTCGGAATGTTTATGAATATTTAACCATCCGTCTTTTGCTCCGCGCGACAGCCAGCATGTGTTTTGCCAATGGACACACACGCGCACACAATGGCTCGTGAATAATTACAGCGAGGCGCTGGTAAATGTGTGAATAACACAACGCGTAAAAAATGCAACCGCCTAAGTTCCCGTGGCAGGATTGATACGGGGCGCACGGCTGACGGGATGCGTTCAAGATTATTCAGGATTATTTTGGCTGCAGTAAATACCCACGCGACAAGCCACCTCGTTGAGCTGTCGTTTGTGAGCCAGGTCGCCTCTGAAAAAGAAGATAAGAGCTTACCAGGTAAAGCACACCGAGGCGTGCTTTACCTGGTAAGATGAAACAAAAAGGTTTTTTTTCAAATTCTCTTGCTGTGGATTTCACACCTGATGATGACTGCTTGTGTTGCAGTCGAAACGTCGTGAGAATGGTTATTGTTTTATATTTTTATTATTTTATTATTTCCCTTCTACGCGACTTTACCGAACTAACCAAGAATATGAATCCCTGCAGTCACGAAAGCTTTAAATAAAAAAAGTTATTTGATTTAACTTTCATACACTCTCGAGTTTTGTGCATTGTTTGTTGTTCCAACGTTCTGACCCCACCCCTACTGGACAAAAAGAGCTTCAAAGCTCATCGGATTCCTCCAGTATGGACAAATATTCTGATTTCCGAACGGATTGGGCCCCGCTTGCTTGCAACCCCCTGTTCAGTGCGTCACACACAGCAGACCTTCCCGGTACAACGTCGGACGTTGACCCAACGTTGCTCCACCGCTTCCAACCACGCAGTCAACAACGTTGGCCCCACGCTTGTTGACGTGTTTACCGTGGGGGGGTGGGGGAGGAAGGGGGCACAAAGAGTAAACAAATCAGTGGGTTCATGCTGAATGTTGAAGCCAGCGTGATGCAACCGCGTCCTGTTGCCAAGTGACGCAGGCCTCAATTGCAGCACGCACTGCCAAGGAGTGGCAGGGTACAATGTAGCAGCCACTGCTCCATCTGGTGACACAACAACAACAACCACCACCACCGTCCCTACTTGTACAGCAGTCGTTGTGGCAAAGTGGCGTTACGTTTGTTGTTGTTGTTTGTGGTGCCCGAGGCACTCACGCATGCCAACAATTGCCTCGGTGTGGTTATAAGCGTTAAGCCACCGTCACGGTACCAAGGCCCAGTCAACGTGAAACGTTGCGTTGAGACGAAATCTCAAACCGCATTCCAACAACAACAACGTTGCCACGACGTTGTCACGGGGCGGTCAATTTATAGATACCCCACCAGAATAATCGGAAAACATTAGGAGAAAGCTTTTTGTTTGTTTGTTAACAAAGCCTCAACGTCAATGCACGTATCGAGCCTCCCAACATTCTCCCTCCTCTTCAAGGCAACGTGGTCACCATGAATTTCCATCGCCTAAGCCGAGCGCCCCCCCAGAAGCCATCAGAGAGCAATGGGGCATCTACAAATGGATCAGCCCTGGTTTGTGTTGTTAGTGAGGGGGGGATGATGGTGGTGGTGTTTAACTTGCGACTTGCCACTTAAGTTTGGCTCTCGTCTCGTCAACCAAGCCACGCTATGAGGCGACGTCGTGTCGACGTTGAAAGTTCTCCTCACGAAGGGCAGGAAATGGACGCACGCACAGAGACGTTGTTATCGTTCTTCTGTTCAACCACCACCATAGCCAATCTCATCATAGTCTTGACCTTGCCAAGAGGTGCACGGAAACTTTGCCCGGCGACTCTGAAACGGTGCAAAGTTTTCGTTAAAGCGCGGCACATTGTCCGGTCATGGTGGACGTTGACCATACTTCACCACGCTGGTCAATGCGGGCCGGTGAAGGAATGAAAGGAAGGAAGGAGGGGGAGTGGGAGAGGGCCTCAGTACCACTGACGTTAGCCGTGACCTCGGCGGGCAGCATGGCAGTGTTTGATATCCACGGCTCCTCCGTGCGATGTTCGCCGACTCTCAAACTACTTTAAATGAAAATAAAAATGACATTTCGGGGCATTCCGAGCGTTATATCGAAACTTGGAAGTGCGATAACAATTCGCATTATTACATCACAGGAATGAGTCGGTACATTCCTGTGGGTAGGGGGCAGGAATACAACTCAGTCTGGGCTGCAGGACTCAACAAACGACAGGGTTTATAGTATTTCACTGCTCCATCTCCATGTCAGGAGGGAGATCATTGTCAGGAGTTGTTGACCTCTTCCGCTGCCATTCCGTCACCAGTCTTGTCCATCAGCCGCTACAACCCTTGCTCGCTTAGGTGTCCTCCCCAAGCCCCTCTTACATGTTTTCCTCACTAAAACTAAACTAAACAATGCTTTGTTTGACCAGGCAAGGCACACAGAGCCTATATAGTTCTTTTACAGAGGCGAGCCAGCCATAAATGATTGCCCAACGAAGTGGCCTGTCGTCATGTGGACATTTATAGCGACCTAAATTACTCTAAACGCGTCGTGGTGTTGATGATTATGAAATGTGGAGGGAAAAAACCAGAGGACACGGAGAAAAAAAATCCACAGAGAAAGAGAAAGACACGCAAACTCTAAATATACAGCAGACATCAGGGTCAGGATCTAACCCACGACCTCCTGTGTACCTGGCAAGGCAGTCAAACATCGCCTAGCCACCGTGATGATGATGAGAGACACGCAAACTCTAAATATAAAGCAGACATCAGGGTCAGGATTGAACCCACGACCTCCTGTATACCTGGCAAGGCAGTCAAACATCGCCTAGCCACCGTGATGATGATGAGAGACACGCAAACTCTAAATATAAAGCAGACATCAGGGTCAGGATTGAACCCACGACCTCCTGTATACCTGGCAAGGCAGTTAACATCGCCTAGCCACCGTGATGATGAAGATGAGAGACACGCAAACTCTAAATATACAGCAGACATCAGGGTCAGGATTGAACCCACGACCTCCTGTATACCTGGCAAGGCAGTTAACATCGCCTAGCCACCGTGATGATGATGAGAGACACGCAAACTCTAAATATACAGCAGACATCAGGGTCAGGATTGAACCCACGACCTCCTGTATACCTGGCAAGGCAGTTAACATCGCCTAGCCACCGTGATGATGATGAGAGACACGCAAACTCTAAATATACAGCAGACATCAGGGTCAGGATTGAACCCACGACCTCCTGTATACCTGGCAAGGCAGTTAACATCGCCTAGCCACCGTGATGATGAAGATGAGAGACACGCAAACTCTAAATATACAGCAGACATCAGGGTCAGGATTGAACCCACGACCTCCTGTATACCTGGCAAGGCAGTTAACATCGCCTAGCCACCGTGATTATGATGATGAGAGAGACACGCAAACTCCTAGTATACAGCAGACATCAGGGTCAGGATCTAACCCACGACCTCCTGTATACCAGGCGAGGGAGTTAACATCTCATAGCCACCGTGATGATGATGATGAGAGAGACACGCAAACTACAAATATACAGCAGACATCAGAGTCAGGATTGAACCCACGACCTCCCGTGTACCAGGCGAGGTAGTCAACATCTCATAGCCACCACAGCGCCAACCAACCTAGCCTCCCACCAATCATCGTCAACAATCGCCAATCCTCAGGGTCGCTAAAGCATGCACCACGATTGTACCTGGCCCCGGCCACACTAATGTGGAGTTGAGGTCGAGTGAGACGGCCTTGGTAGACTTCTCGTTCGGAGGTCAACGCGACCCATACAACATCATCACCCATGGGTGCGATACAACCCACTAACCACTGTCAACATTGGCGATGGGAACGTGTAATTTCCACCACTTGGCTCAATGAATGAAGCTGAATCAATCCCCAATGACAGTCCACTGCCAGGAACCCATTCTGGGAGAAAGCAGCAGGGTGGGAAGATGAAACGGGGCCGTCTGGAATGCACCACGCACACAAAGACAAAGATCCCCCGCGTAGCCTCAACAGACTGCTGGGGCAAGTGCTGTCAACCCACACGCTTTAACCTCCGTATTCTTGTACAGCGGGGATTGAGTATTCAGGTAACCGATTCAATAAGGGCAAAAACAACATTGCTGTCTATTTGTTTGTGTGTTTCTCCCTTGTGATGGGACACTGTAGGATAAACGTTGAGATCTATAGGGGCACGGGGTGATCAATAGGGTCTGAGTTGGTCTGTAATAAGATTGAGCACTCAAAGGGGTTGACAGATATGCGAAGTGGTGGGGTGGCCAGCACCACTACACACCGCGCACGGTACTCGTTTGAGGCCGAGTCAACCTAGGGGAGTCCCAGGACAGGTTGCGATAATCGTCGCTGGTGGTGGCCGTGAGCTGGAATCGAACTCGGATGTCTGCCGGGTTCGTTGTGTAGCGCGCTAACCGAACCACCACCGCTCCTCTGTGACTACAATCACTACACACTACACTACATACGCATGCACTCACGGATACAAACATCGAAAACGACTCAAATGTACAGACAATTGGCATCATATCCCAGCCCAACCAGGTTATATACACGTGTAATAACTTACCAGGTATATACACGTGTAATAACTTCGCCAGATTTACCATGAAAAAAAAAACTCACAAGCAGCATTTTACCCCCCTCCACGTTTCACCTTCCACTTTACCACAATCACATATTTGTAACAATCCTTCACACACACCACTTACTTTAAGACGCTGCGCACCACTCCAGCGACCCAAGTTACCATCACGATTCAAACTTAACACGCATTAGTATCGAATAATAAGACGCGCTTACAGCTGTTTATTTAAACTACCGGGTGATGATGATGATGATGCTGCTGCTGAACTCACCCGGTTCTTCACCTCCGCTGAGAGACCGTAGGCCGGCCCTTTGTTGAAATTCGAAGCCATTGTGAAGCTTCAACGACGACGACGACGACAAAGTTGAGAGATGAGAGAGAGAGATGCGAGAAAAGTATCAATTCTGTTTCCCCTTCTGCAGACTTGATAAAGTTGATCCGGAACGGAATTGCTCCACGTGTAGATTCTTGTGGTGGTCCGTGTATGAGCTGATGATGCTGCTGCTGCTGCTGATGACGATACTACTACTGCTGCTGATGATGATGCTTCTGCTGCTGCTGTGGCTGCTCTCACGCCTCTGAGGTTGGCGGCTTCCAATCCACGCTACCAAAGAAGCTTTCAGTTAAGGGTGTGGATCGATCCGATTCCGTGCAAATCGAAACTCGAATCGTGCCATTCGATTACAGGGCTTCACATCGAGACGCGTGTTGGCTGTTTGAAGTTTTGCTTCGAGATTTGAAGTTTTCGTCACTGCAAGGGTCCAAACTCTTTGTTTTTTTTCGGTAAAGTCACGTAGCAATTTTGCTGTGACGGTTCCATCTGAAGACGGAAGCTTGTGTTTGCCTCCGAAACGTCGTGATTTAATTTATTTTCCTGTTTACGTGACTTTACAGAAAAAACCAAAGAGTATTGATGTTATTGCCTTTGATTCGCCCCGATGGTTTATTCTGTGTCGCTAGAATTAAAGTAAGGGCGCGTTACTACGCACCTATAAGAACATTAACAACATGCACACCTATTCACCTTCATCATTCAATGCCACCATTCTTGTGTTTAGCGATGGGACCCTTTAGCCTGTATCAAGACATTGAAATAGAAATGATGATCGTGCACCCTTGTTGGCGGGTTTAAGATCTCCAGACACGAAATAGACGCCCAACTGCAAGGCGTCTCGTCTGCGTGAGCATCAGCATCAGCAGTATTCGCAGAAGCTTCAGCATCATCATCTAATGCGTGTGACAACACGCCCTTGTCTGTGTAGTTGAGCAGACGTGGTGGGTTTGAACATCTTAACACCTAACAATCCACCAGTGTCTAACAATCCACCCGGTGTCTAACAATCCACCCAGTGTCTATCAATCCACCAGTGTCTAACAATCCACCAGTGTCTAACAATCCACCCGGTGTCTAACAATCCACCCGGTGTCTAACAATCCACCAGTGTCTAACAATCCACCCAGTGTCTAACAATCCACCCGGTGTCTAACAATCCACCCGGTGTCTAACAATCCACCCGGTGTCTAACAATCCACCATTGTCTAACAATCCACCATTGTCTAACAATCCACCAGTGTCTAACAATCCACCCGGTGTCTAACAATCCACCAGTGTCTAACAATCCACCCGGTGTCTAACAATCCACCCGGTGTCTAACAATCCACCCGGTGTCTAACAATCCACCCAGTGTCTAACAATCCACCCGGTGTCTAACAATCCACCATTGGCTAACAATCCACCAGTGTCTAACAATCCACCCGGTCCCTAACAATCCACCAGTGTCTAACAATCCACCCAGTGTCTAACAATCCACCCAGTGTCTAACAATCCACCCGGTGTCTATCAATCCACCCGGTGTCTAACAATCCACCCAGTGTCTAACAATCCACCCAGTGTCTATCAATCCACCAGTGTCTAACAATCCACCCAGTGTCTAACAATCCACCCGGTGTCTAACAATCCACCCGGTGTCTAACAATCCACCCAGTGTCTATCAATCCACCAGTGTCTAACAATCCACCAGTGTCTAACAATCCACCCGGTGTCTAACAATCCACCCGGTGTCTAACAATCCACCCAGTGTCTATCAATCCACCAGTGTCTAACAATCCACCAGTGTCTAACAATCCACCCGGTGTCTAACAATCCACCCAGTGTCTGACAATCCACCAGTGTCTAACAATCCACCCAGTGTCTAACAATCCACCCAGTGTCTAACAATCCACCCGGCGTCTAACAATCCACCCAGTGTCTAACAATCCACCCAGTGTCTAACAATCCACCCAGTGTCTAACAATCCACCCGGCGTCTAACAATCCACCCAGTGTCTAACAATCCACCAGTGTCTAACAATCCACCCGGCGTCTAACAATCCACCAGTGTCTAACAATCCACCCAGTGTCTAACAATCCACCCAGTGTCTAACAATCCACCCGGCGTCTAACAATCCACCAGTGTCTAACAATCCACCCAGTGTCTAACAATCCACCCAGTGTCTAACAATCCACCCGGTGTCTAACAATCCACCCGGTGTCTAACAATCCACCAGTGTCTCACAATCCACCCGGTATCTAACAATCCACCCAGTGTCTAACAATCCACCAAGTGTCTAACAATCCACCATTGTCTAACAATCCACCAGTGTCTAACAATCCACCCGGTATCTAACAATCCACCAAGTGTCTAACAATCCACCCGGTGTCTCACAATCCACCCAGCGTCTAACAATCCACCAGTGTCTAACAATCCACCCGGTGTCTCACAATCCACCCAGCGTCTAACAATCCACCAGTGTCTCACAATCCACCCGGTGTCTAACAATCTACCCAGTGTTTAACAATCCACCCAGTGTCTAACAATCCACCCAGCGTCTAACAATCCACCCGGCATCTAACAATCCACCCAGTGTCTATCAATCCACCATTGTCTAACAATCCACCCAGTATCTAACAATCCACCAGTGTCTATCAATCCACTCGGTGTCTGTCAATCCACCAGTGTCTAACAATCCACCCAGTGTCTCACAATCCACCAGTGTCTAACAATCCACCCAGTATCTAACAATCCACCAGTGTCTAACAATCCACCCAGTATCTAACAATCCACCCAGTATCTAACAATCCACCAGTGTCTAACAATCCACTCGGTGTCTGTCAATCCACCAGTGTCTAACAATCCACCCAGTGTCTCACAATCCACCCGGTGTCTAACAATCCACCAGTGTCTAACAATCCACCAGTGTCTCACAATCCACCCGTGTCTAACAATCCACCAGTGTCTAACAATCCACCAGTGTCTCACAATCCACCCAGTGTCTAACAATCCACCAGTGTCTAACAATCCACCCAGTGTCTAACAATCCACCAGTGTCTAACAATCCACCAGTGTCTAACAATCCACCCGGTGTCTGTCAATCCACCAGTGTCTAACAATCCACCAGTGTCTAACAATCCACCAGTGTCTAACAATCCACCCGGTGTCTGTCAATCCACCAGTGTCTAACAATCCACCCAGTGTCTAACAATCCACCAGTGTCTCACAATCCACCAGTGTCTCACAATCCACCCAGTGTCTAACAATCCACCAGTGTCTAACAATCCACCCAGTGTCTAACAATCCACCAGTGTCTAACAATCCACCCGGCGTCTAACAATCCACCAGTGTCTAACAATCCACCCAGTGTCTAACAATCCACCAGTGTCTAACAATCCACCCAGTGTCTAACAATCCACCAGTGTCTAACAATCCACCCAGTGTCTAACAATCCACCAGTGTCTAACAATCCACCCAATGTCTAACAATCCACCAGTGTCTAACAATCCACCCAGTGTCTAACAATCCACCCGGTGTCTAACAATCCACCCAGTGTCTAACAATCCACCCGGTGTCTAACAATCCACCGGTGTCTAACAATCCACCCAGTGTCTCATAATCCACCCGGTATCTAACAATCCACCCAGTGTCTAACAATCCACCGGTGTCTAACAATCCACCCGGTGTCTAACAATCCACCCGGTATCTGTAGCTGATGTGGCTGGTTTCCCTCCTCTGACTGCCATCGTCAGCAGTGTTGACCACCGCTTCTGTGGTGACCACGTGGCCTGCCAAAGCTCTCAAGTTAGAATTTACGCCTTCAACTTTAACAGCCTTGCTGTTAAATTTCGATTTAAAGCTTTCGTGACTGCAGGGATTCATCTTCTTGGTTCTTTCGGTAAAGTCACGTAGAAGGGAAATAATAAAATAATAAAAATAAAACATATTAAAATACAATTCTCACGACGTTTCGGCCACAACGCAAGCAGCCGTCCTCAGGTGAAGAACAGGGCTGTCGGGGAGACAGCGTCTGAATGAACACCACCACGTTTGGCAGCGTATATTTAAGCTTTGCTGTTGCTGTTTAGATAAGCCAGGATTTATGTTGCAAATGAGGACTTCTAACCTGGTCTCTTAAACTATTTCAACTAAAAACTAAACTTTTTTTGTATTCTAGATAGGGGGGGGGGGGGGGTCAGACATTTGTGACGATGTGTGATGAGGGAGGGGGGGGGTGAGAAATGTGACGTCACATAAAAATGCGCAACTTTAAATAAATATAGACAACACGTTCTACTTAATTAAATAGACTTTGTAATAAATGTTTTCTCCTACAACATCAAGAGTGCAGCGCCACATTAAATACGCACTAAAATGACAATAGTTTAAAGCGATTTGAAGCATGTTTATTTTTTTTTGGGGGGGGGGGGGCAAAGCTTTGTGACGTCATATTTGAGGGGGGTCTGACTTTTTGTGACGCCATGTGACGAGGAGGGAGTCAAAAATCCTCCAAAATTGCGTGACGTCAGCCCCATCATTCGGGCATTTCATAGCAACCAAAATAATCTCAATCACCCAACAACGCCCTCCTGTCGAGCAGGCGAGGGAGTTCACATCTCCCAGCCACCGCAGTGGCGCGAGAGGGCAATTGCAGGGCTGCGCCTCTACCCAATGTTGGTGGCACGCGGGAAGGGATCGGGCTAAAGCTAGGAGCCATTCTCAATCCACTGCTGGACGAAGGCCCCCCCCCCCCCCGCCTAATTCATTGCCCCCCCCCTTCTCGTAGTTGCGTGATGCAGAAATCCAGCGGGGGGCGAGAAAACTTCAACGAGTGAACACGGGGAGGGTTCGATTTCGAACAGGGGTGGCGAGAGGAATCGCCGGTGTCGATTTAGGAGCGCGACCGTCGATTCCGAATCTGCGCGGAGGCCGGAAATCGTGGCGGGGCGCGCGCGATTCCCTTATAAGGGCAGAGCGCGCGCCCCGCACGGGGACCCGCCCCCTACCTGGGGGGGGGGGGGGGTGACACATCACGTGATGTTCATCATCATCACCCATCACATACATCACCATCGCGTGCATCACCATCACGTGCATCACCATCACATACATCACCATCATCAATGCTTAACATCACCATCACATACATCATCACACATACATCACCATCACACATACATCACCATCGCGTGCATCACCATCACATACATCACCATCACATACATCACCATCATCAATGCTTAACATCACCATCACATACATCACCATCACATACATCACCATCACATACACATCAC